CTGGTTAAGGTTCATGTCCTTCGGGATGCTTCTGTCCTGCTCTGCATCCCTGTGGCTGCTCCCTCCTTCATGTCTGGGCTCAAACACCTCTGCTGTCCCGGCTCCTGTCCCCATTTCTGGTGGCTCCTTTGGGACAAGAGTCCCTGAGCAGCACCTAGAGAAAGGAGACCCATCCAGGAAGGGAGCCGGTAGCCCTTAACAATCCCACAAGGCTCCTGCTTCCATTGCAAGAATGAATCAGGCTGTGAATTTTTTGTTGTAGCTGGTTTTGGACTAGTTTGGTACATTTTGGATGAGGTCAGGAGATCTTGCTGGCATGTTTCCCCTTCCAAAAGTCACTTCCAGAGTGGAATCCTCAGCCTCCTCCTAGCATGGCCACGTTCCCATCATGTTTCCATCTTTTCCATCTCCTTGTCAAGAGGCAGGTGGTGGGAAGCAGATCCAGAGGGAAACCCTTTGCTGACAGAGAGATTGCCCAACTGCCAGGGGAGAGACCTACTCTTGCACCCCACTGGTCTGTAGGGTTCCTGGGTCAGAAAGACCCTTTCTTGGGGCATCTGGTGCCTTCTCCAGCATGGCTGTTAGGAAATCTGGGGACAGCCAGTTCATGTCACCTCTGTCCTCGACAGGCTGCCGTCCCTACTCCATCCCACCCTGCGAGCACCACGTGAATGGCTCCCGGCCCCCCTGCACTGGAGAAGGAGGGGGAACCCCAAGATGCAGCCGGCACTGTGAACCTGGGTACTCACCCTCCTACAAGGAGGACAAGCACTATGGTAAGGGAGCTGACAGCACAGCTCCAGAGCTGCTCCTTGTGGCAACTTGGTGGGGTTGGCAGGGTTGGACCTGTTCCCAAGCTGGTTTACTGTGGTTATTTTCTGTGCCTTGTCCCTGGAGACCCCAGTCTGATGGTCCTGGAGCAAACAGCAGCCTGGCAGATGCACAGTTTGTATTTGTATTCCCCATCAACTGAGACTGGGGAAAGAAAATGGTTTGAGTCCTCATGGTGCATGTGGCTGGGTTGAAGAGTGTGGTGCTGAGCCCTGTGTGGTGTCAAAGCCACCTCCTTCTGACTCCTTGGTAGAGCCAGCCCTGTACATTTAGGATAATCCAGCTGTTTCTTAAAGATTTGTCTCAGCCTTGAGTAATTTGGATTGTTTTTTGGAGGGTGTACAAGAAGAAAATGTCCATTCCCTCTGAAGCTGTCTGGAATAGGTCTTTGGGTACAAAATATGAGTCAGATGAAATAATTCCCTGTAGAAGAGGGATATCTGGAGCCCACTTTGCCTGCCTGACTGTATCAGTGTCTCCAGAGCAGCTGGGTTTGAATTTAACCTGAGTTTAAGTGGAAGAGGCCTCTTGCAGGGTCACACTGAGCAGTCTCAGCCGAGCCATCCAATCCCTGTGTGGCCTGACTGTTCTGTCCTAATGATGGGAATTTTTTCCTCCTTAGGCATCACCTCCTATGGAGTCCCTCGCAGTGAGAAGGAAATCATGGCTGAGATCTACAAGAACGGCCCAGTGGAAGGAGCCTTTATTGTCTATGAGGATTTCCTGATGTACAAGTCTGGTGAGTGTCAGCACTGAGGCTGGGGGGAGCCCTGTTCCCTGCTTCATCCAGAGGGTCCTTCCTTTGTGACCCTTGTCCCTCTGCTCAAGTCTGAAAGGAGATCTCAAGCTCACCCTTGAGTATCTGGTGTGGCAGGACCATGGGCTGATGCCATCTGCTGTATCCATTGGTTTACAGCAAAGGGAATCAGTGCTTGGGAGTGGTTCAGGGAAGGAACCCCAATGGGGACTGCCCCAAATTCCGGCTGAGAACAACAGCTTGGATTTTAGGTAAAACCCTGGCAGAAGGACCCCAATTCCTTGTTCTGAACTGCTTTTTGGCCCCTTGCTGAGTGTCTCTGGATGTCCTGTGTGCTGAGCTGGTGCTGAGCGTCAGTCATAGAATCGTGGAATGGTTTGGGTTGGAAGGGACTTTAAAGGATCATCTTGTTCCAACCCCCTGCCATGAGCAGGGACATTTTCCACTAGCCCAGGTTGCTCCAAGCTCCATCCAATTTGTCCTTGAACACTTCCAGGAATGGGGCAGCCCCAGCTTCTCTGGGCAACCTGTGCCAGGGCCTCACCACCCTCACACCAAGAATTCCTCCTAACATCCAATCTAAATCTCTCTTCTAGTTTAACAACATTCCCTCTTGTCTTGCCACTGTCTCCCCATGTAAAATTCCTTCCTCCAGACCCTTGAGTTTCAGGTTCACATTTAACCAAAAACCTTCTCAGCTGCCCTCTGGGTCGCCAAATCAGGTGTCCCACAACCTCTCATTGCTCTGTGGCGTGGAGACACGGTGCCCATGGACATGTTGGTGTGTTGCCTTGCAGGGGTGTACCAGCACGTGTCTGGGGAGCAGGTTGGAGGCCACGCCATCCGGATCCTGGGCTGGGGGGTGGAGAACGACACCCCGTACTGGCTGGTGGCCAACTCCTGGAACACCGACTGGGGGGACAATGGTGAGGCCCTGCAGGGAACCCCCTCCCTGTTCTCCTGGGCACGGTGAGGAGGTTGAGGTTGAGTGTTGCTCTTGGTGTGCTTCCAGGCTTCTTCAAAATCCTCCGAGGGGAGGACCACTGCGGCATCGAGTCCGAGGTCGTGGCCGGCATCCCCAGGACGGAGCAGTACTGGAAGAGGATGTAACCTTGGATCAAACCACAAATAATCCCGAGTCCCTGATGCTTTTAACTGATAGTGGGTTGGGTGCAGAGACCCCCCCCTTCTAAGAGACTATAGTTGAGATTACTTTATTAAAGCTTTTTATCTTTTCTTTTTTCCTTTTTTTTTTCTTTTTTTTGTTGTTTTTCAGGTTTTTTGGTGGTTTTACTTTTTTTTTTTTTTGTACATCAGAGCTGGAGGTGGAGCTGCTCTCTGCCAACCTTCTGCTCCTGGTGGGTTGCAGCCATGGGGCATTCCCTGCTCAAAGGACTGCTGGGGAGCTCGCTGGCCTCTTGGTGTTTGGTTAGCCTGGACCCCTTCCAGCCCAGTTTGTTACTGGGAGGGCAGGAAGCAGTAGCTTTGTGCTGGGATTAGGGACTTGCTGGGGCAGCAGAGACGGATCCTGCTGGGAAGCCATGGCCAGGAGGGATTTGGCTGGGTTGGTCTGACTGTTAGTACCCAAAACAAGCAGGGAATGTTAGTGTGTGCCTTGAACTGGCTAAATTTAGACCTACTAGTGACAAAATACTGATGAACTTGATGTGGGGCTGGCTCTGGCCAGAGCTGCCTGCACCAAGTCCTTTGTGCATTGCTTGCTCTGCTCCATCCATTTGGCTTTTTAAACCACTTCAGCTGTGGTTTCTATCTGCTGTAGTCTGGGGTTCTTGATCCCGGGGAAGGGCCTGGCTGGAGCTCCGTGAGCCTTTGATCAAATATCCTGCCAGCATCCAGGAGGACACTGGAAAGAGCAAACCACTTTATATCCATGGCTGGGCAGCTTGGTGTGTGAACCCTGGGCAAGGGTGCAGCACCCAAAATTGGGGTGCTTTGGCGCTGGAGGTGCTGAATGCTGACCTGAGGGATGGCTCCCAAGTCTGCTGCAGATGCTTGGAGGTATCTCACTGACTTGCACACAATTGAAGCATTTTTTTCTCGAGCCACAGGTGTTAAGGAAGAAAAAAACCCTTATTTTTGTTACTGGGGGGAGGTGTAATAGTTGTGTAGGAGGAATCATGATTTGCCAACACTAATATAGCAAAAGAGCTTTTTTTTTTTTTTTTTTAATTAAAGCACAAAGTATATTACTGAGCTGAGGCTGCAGGCTGAAACATGTGAAGCAAGCTCGCCCATGCACTGTAAAATAGCCCCTTACCTCTGCTTACTCAAACACCAGTGAGCCAGAGCTGTGCTGTTGTGGTTGGAACAACCGTGCCAATAAATGATTTCTCCAGTATCTTGTCTCCTGGCCCCTGGTTGTTTCTGCTCAACATCCAACCACCTCAAATGATTGGTGTGGAAGCAAGTGAGACCTTTCTGTCTTCATGGAATAGTTTGGGTTGGAAGGGACCTCTAAGATCATTCAGTTCCAACCCTCTGCCATGGCCAGGGACACTTTCCACTATCCCAAGTTGCTCCAAGCCCCATCCAGCCTAGCCTTGAACACTTCCAGGGATGGGGCAGCCCCAGCTTCTCTGGGCAACCTGTGCCAGGGCCTCCCCACCCTCAAATGGAAGATTTCCTTCCCAATATCCCATCTAACCCTGCCCTCTGGCAGTGAGAATCCATTCCCCCTTGTCCTGTCCCTCCATCCCTTGTCCAAAGTCCCTCTCCAGCTCTCTTGGAGCCTCTTTAGGCTCTGGAAGGGGCTCTAAGGTTTCCCTGGAGCCTTCTCTCCTCCAGGTGAACACCCCCAGCTCTCCCAGCCTGTCTCCAGAGCAGAGGGGCTCCAGCCCTTGGAGCATCTCTGTGGCCTCCTCTGGAGTCTCTCCAGCAGCTCCATGTCCTTCAGATGCTGGGACTCAGAGCTGGAGGCAGCTCTGCAGGTGGGGTCTCACCTGAGTAGAGCAGGAAAATCACTTGCACTTCCCTGTGCAGGTGTGGTCAGTCCCATCCCTGTCCTCTGGCCCTACTAGTGACAGCCACTGCCTGGGGCTTGTGCTGGTGGTGGGGAAGGTGCTTCAGCCTGGATCAGAGAACAGCCAGACCTGTCCCCAGCATCCCTGGAGGAGGAGGATGTACCAAGACACTGGAGCACATGTCTGCAGCCCAGGGCTGTGCCACCACTCCTGCTGCCTGCTTGGCAAGCTCCTTTCAAAGTTAATTTACTGCCCCTCAGCTGTCACCCTGGTTAAAATTCTTCCTTTGTGTCTGGCACACAGGACTGTGCTGTGATACCCTGACTTGGCAGCAAGGAAGCACTGGAATTGTATCTGAGCTGAGGGCTTGTAACTTGTGTGTGGAATTACTGGTGTAAAAGAAATGACAACCAGAAAAAAAAATCCAACACTTTTTCTTTTTTCCCAAAGAAAACTTTAATCTCAACAAGACTGGAAGCTGCACAAAGAGAGCTACCGCAAGTTTCTTCAGAATGACAGCTTAAAACTTATCTACATTGGTACCTGTGGAGTTGGGGTTCTCCTTTTGAACAGCCTGGCCACAGGGGATGGGCCTTGCAAAGGCCACCAAACTGTCCCTGGCAGCTCTGTCCTGTTCCAGGACATGGGCCCTCCTTCCCTTCACAACAGCAAAGCAGCATTTGATGGGGGTGGGTAGGGACCTTGACAACAACCATCCACCCCAGGATAACAGGACTTGCCTTTAAAGTGTTTTTTTTCCTCTTCTAAGTCCAAATGTGTCCGATGTGTTTCAGACCAGCCTCTTCCAGCTCTCACATCAGTGTAACCCAAAGCACCATTCCAAAGCTGGAGGCAAGCAGGCCAGGGAAACCTGCCCTGGTCGCCCCCTCAGGGGCTCCAGTCTTCCCAGCCCATGGCAGGGAAGTTGTCTTTCAGGGTGGCCAGTGCCTCCCCAAAAACATCCCACAAGGGACAGCAGGGTGCAAACCCTCACTCCCCTGCATTGCTGTGCCACCACCACCCATCCCCTCGGGCTGAGCCCAGACCCAACAGAGGAGTCAGGCCTGGGGTTATGAGCTCAGGGCCATGCTGGCATCATCCTCATTTTAACCCCCTCCCCACTACTAAAACAAGGGCTTTGCCAGTGCAGGGGTCATCTGTCACAGGGCAGGGAACTGCACAGCTGCCTTTCAGCTGGGGGCACATTTTAGTGAACAGAGCATCTCACCTTCTATTTCTTTGACATTAAAAAGGCTTCTTTCATCATCCTTCAGCACAACAGAAATAGCACTACGGCCTCTGCCTGTTTCCAGGCTGCAGGATGTAAACCAGCCTGGGCTGAGGGCCACAAGGTGGCCAGAGCTTTTTCCCTGGATAAGAAAGCATGTTCCTCTCCCAGCTGAAGCAGCATCCTTCCAGAACGGGGCAGGCACAGGAGGCAATGGGGAAGAGGCTGCCTAAGAATGGGAGGCAAAACCCTCAGGGTTTTGCTCAGCTCTGAGCTGGAAAAGATGCCTCAAATCTCAAGGAAGAAAACAAGCAACTGGAGTTTCTATTTCAAATCATCCTAACCAAAAAAAAAAAAAAAAAAAGAAAACCTCAGGTAAAACCATCCAACAGAAAAGAAGGGGAAAAAAAATAACTCAACCTCAAACAAAAAGACTCCAATTAGCACTTGTAACCATCCAAGCAGCTGGCAAGGGCAGTGAGGATGGAGTCCAGCAATGCCACAGTGTCACCCCGGGGCTGCAGCTCACTGGGGGGTCCCATCCTCTCACATTCCCAGTGCCCAGGGCCTGGCCATCCCCACGGATGGAGCCTCCTGCCCCCGCTGCCCACCTGCCAACCAGCTCTCCCCCTGCCCATCCGCTGCCCATCAGTTCTCTCCCGCCTGGACGTACTCCTCGGTGGCCTTGGAGAGGGTGCTGAGGTACTGCCAGCTCAGGGCTGCCAGGAGCATGGCACAGGACAGGTAGATGGGGGAGTAGTGGTGCCGGGATGCCATGGAGCTGCCGGGCAGGCTCATGGCGCGGATGGAGGCGATGACCTGCTGCGTCTTGTTGGAGGAGGGGTCAGTGCTTGGGATCTTCTGGTAGATCTAGGGGAGGAGAAAAGAGAAGCTGTGGTTTCCACGCAAAGGTGAGGAGAGAAATGGGAACACCGGGTGGAAGAGGAAGGTTTAAGGGCCACCGTGTCCTCAAGAGTAACCTCGGTGGTGGACTGCCATGGAGCACCGGATGCCTGGATGGGTCCAGGGAGTCTCCCTTGGGAAGTGCACTAAGCCAAGCTGCCTCTTGAGGGCACCCCATGACGGGACATGGACCACACAGATCCCTCAACCACCGGTGGTGGTACTGGAACCAGTGGTTTTCACCTTGCAACCCTCACTCACTGCACATGTGCTGCAGCTCAGCTAAAACCAGAGGGGACAGCTGAGCGTGTCACTGCCTGGAAACAGCCACATCCATCAGCTAATTCCATGGTCTTCTGGGTTTTCTCTTCAAATCCCATGGCATTTGGGATAAGTGTCTGCACGAGTCTTAGCAAGGTGGGTACAAGCAGAGCCACAAGGCCAGCCCACAAGGGCAGCTCTAATAACCCATGGTTTGGGGTCTCTCTAGTACAGAAGTGATGTCTTTTTACTTAACAGCCCCCACTAGATTTGGGTTTTGGGGAGTGGGGCGGGTTTTTTTCCCATGAAACCACTCAGTAGTTGTTCCTCCACATGAATTTTTAACCTCCACAAGACCTTAAAGTAGGGAGTAAGAAGGTCCCCCCTGAGCCTCCTTTTCTCCAGGCTAAACCCCCCAGCTCCCTTAGCTGTTTGTGGTGCTCCAGCCCCTTCCCTAGTTCCACTCTCTTCTCTGGACACGCTCCAGCCCCTCAATGTCTTTCTTGTCATGAGGATCCTAAAACTGACCCCAGGATTCAAGGTGTGGCCTTACCAGTGCCCAGCACAGAGGGACAATCACTTCCCTGGTCCTGCTGCCACACTATGGCTGACACAGGCCAGGATGCCACTGGCCTCATTCTCTACTTCTCATCAGAGGCCCAGATGTGTTCAAGGGAACACATCAAGCACCCAGTTTAGCCCAAGCCAAAACCACATTCCCTGCCACCACTGAGCTAAAGGATACAAGGAAAGGATTAACAGAGTCACCACATGTGTTCCCAATTCCACACCAAGAACGGGCACAGGCACAGCCAGAAATTACTCAAAGCCAACTGCTGAACCCACCTCTTCCACATACTGGTACATGATGGCTTTGACAGCTTGTATGTTGGTGGCATCCATCATGAGGGTGACGGCTTGTCCCTTCCGGATCTTCACCACGCCCCTGAACACCTGCTTGTTGTTGTAGCAGGCAGCCAGCGTGGCAATGGCCATCACCTAAGGACACACATGGAGAGCCTTTACTGCACTGTGAGGAACATGCCAAGAGCTCACCTTGATTCTAGTCACATTGATGGCAAGACACTGTAACAGAGCCACAGGCTCACCAAGGGCAGAAGTGGTAGGTACCAGGAAAAAAGGAAGAGATGGGAGAATAAAACAGGCTAGAAACACATGATCCACAACCTCCTTCACCTCCAGCTTCTCACCAGATGGTGAAGAACCACTTGAAAGCAGAACTCACCTGGGGGATGGCGCAGAAGTTGAAGACACTTTGGTTTTTCAGGCGGGACAAGTAGGTGAGGACGTCGGGGACGTGGTGGAGGGCGTTGGTGATGAGCTCGTTCAGGCACTGCACGGCCATCTCGATGTTCTCCGGCTTGGCGAGGTCCGAGAGCTTCTGTGCGTATCTGCTCCAAACCTACACACCAAGATGGGTACTCATGAGCTGGAGGGGACATTCATGTCATAGGAGAGACATCAGGAACAGCCTGAGGTGTGGGAGAGCAACAGGAAGCACCAGAGACACAGAAGAACCTTGAAGCACTACTAGGATAAAGGAAAGCAGGAAGGGCAGGCTGTGGAGACGTGACGGTGGCCTTGGTGGATACAAAGGGGTTGTAAAGAAGGATGAACTCGTCCCCACATCTTCTCTAAGTAGGGCAAAGAAAAGATGAGGCACCCATCAGGCTGACACAGAATCACAGAATGGTTTGGGTTGGAAGGGACCTTAAAGCTCATTAGACCAGGTTGCTCCAAGCTCTGTCCAACCTGGCCTTGAACACTTTAACATCAAGAAATGCTCTTTAAGAGAGGTGAGCCACTTAGAAAAGGGACAGAAAAATTCTTGGAGGATCAAGACAAGCAGACAAGCAGCTGTCAGGCACAGGCAGAGCTAATCCTGCCTTTGGGAGCAGACGAGGTACCCTCTCGAGGTCTCACTCAGCCTTATCCTCCCTCATTTCTAGAGCCAATTTAAGAGAGGGGAAAAAGCTGCCCAACAAGTTCTTGGTAGTGTGAGGAGACATCACCTCGTCCCTTCATGTGTACCCAGAGAGCTGTAGACAGATGTGGAACTCGTGAGCCAGCTGTCATTAGAAGAACTGCTGTTACAGAGAAGATGCATAGCCAACACTAGTGATTTGATGAGGTTTTCCCTCACCTCTCTGGGCCAGAACTCCCTTCCTTCCATCTGGTCCTCCAGGTAGTCACGGATGATGTTGGTTTTCTGCAGGAAGAGGCCCATGGAGTTTGCCAGCTCCGTGTCCTGCCCCACAATAGGATCTTCCAGCTCTGATGCAGAGAAGAGACGGGAAAGGCCGATCCCCACCAGCCCAGCAACGTAGTGACAATACTGTGAGATGCCAGGTTGGGAAAGGGTGGGAAAAAACAAGATGAAAGGAGCAGTTACAAAGAGCTGCCTGTTTGCCACAGGGAGTTTTACAAAAATGATGCTCAGAAGGAACTGACAGTTGAATTTTATACAAGTTCTCTCCCTGGGTTGTCTCAGCTTTGCCATGAAAACAAAACATTTTCCCAAACACCTCACTAAGGATGCCCCACCAAGGTGTCACTGCCTCCAGCAGACAAATGAACAGCCCATGGGGGAACAACTGATGTGATGGGTCACCCAAAACATGCTGGTGGGCAACACCAACAGTCCACACCATCCTCCTGTCACCCACAGGACCATCAGACTCTCAAAGCCTTCCCAAGCCCACACAGCCTCCCTCATCCAGCTGTTGCCACAGGGATGCTCTGTCTCCTCTTTCCATGGAGACACAGTGAACCCTCCATGGAAGTGTTCTGAAGATGTGTGGATCTTGCACTTGGGGACATGGTTTAGTGGTGGCCCTACCGGTGCTGGGGGAATGGCTGGACTCGATGATCTTAGAGGGCTTTTCCAACTTTAATGATTCCATGATTCTACTCATGTTCAGTCCACTCCTCTGTCCAGGCTGACTCACCTTATCCCATTCATGCTGAGAGTCCACTTTTTTCTCCAAGAACTCCGCCATTCCAACACCCATTTTGTGGCAAATATCTGAAATCACATCCTGGTAGACTTTTGACAGGTTCCTGAACTCCATGGAGATCTGGAGCACGGTAAAAAAAAATAAAAGACAGTGTCAGGAAAAAACAGCTTTATTAAAAAAATCAGAAAAATACTGTTTATCAGGCTCTAATCCTGCCCTGGCTGGAGATCTGGGACAACTCCCCCAACCAGAGTTGTTTCAAGGTCCTTGGAGCACAGGCTCAGTCTGTTCTCAGTCTAAACGGGACGGGCTCTGGAGGGAGATCAGACACAGCAACATCTTTGGGAAGGCTCTGTGGCCTTGGACTGGTATCATCTGGGAGCTGCACGACAAAACTAACTACACTTGGTGCACAGAGTTGTTTTCTTTTGTAATTTGAGAGCACTCCATCACACCAGCCATGGGAAAAAAAACAGGGAGGTTTGTGGTGCTCTGTTCTCCTGAGCTCCCTCCAGCTCTGGCTTCACGAGGCACATTTTCCACAAAAAAAAAAAGGCATCAAGCAATGGAGGAAGTGTGAAATCTTTCTTTTGCATGCCCACTAACATGGAATCACAGAATGATTTGGGCTGGAAGGGAGCTTAAAGGTGATTTAATTCCAACCCCCCTGCTATGGGTAGGGACACCTGCAAGGTCTCAAACGCTCTCACGCTGCAAAAAAAGTTAAAAATTCCATCCTTCCCTTCCCAAAGCTGTGGAGCATCACATTTTTTTGTGCTAAGCTTTATTCTCCCTCAGGGAGTAACTGCAGCCAGCCCAGGGAGTGCGGGCAGTAAGGACAGCAGTGTGAATGATCACAGCCCTGACACCACTGCAGATCCAGGTTTTCCTCCATGGCTGCTGACACGCCCCTGCCCTGTGTCTCAGTCTGTCTGTAAAAGAAATATTTCAGCTCTGCCTCTGCCTCAGTGGCTTCAACTCCCTACAAAGAGAAGCACAACCTACAAATACCTCTACCAAATATTATTAGAAGTTTTTTCCTATGAGGGTGGTGAGGCACTGGCAGAGGTTGCCAAGAGAAGCTGTGAATGCCCCCAAAAAATTCAAGGTCAAGTTGAATGGGGCTTGGAGCAACCTGGTCTAGTGGAAGGTGTCCCTGCCCATGGCAAGGGGTTGGAATCAGATGAGCTTTAATGTCCCTTCCAACCCAAACCCTTCTGTGATTTTATGCTCTGCACATTGAGAGTTTAATGGTTTGAACATGGTCAGACTTTCTCAATCAGCCTCAAGGCTGAAGACCTGGAGAACAGACCCCAGAATGCTGTGGCTTGCTTGGCTCTCTGTGGTTTCCTTTTAGAAGGATCCTTAGAGCAGTAACTTTGGGCAATATTGTTACTAATAACAGTGAGGGTGCTTTTTATCTTGTATCATAGAATTATAGAATGGTTTGGGTTCAAAGGGAACTTAAAGATCATCTGGTTCCAATTCCCCCATGATGGGCAGGGACACCTTCCACTAGACCAGGCTGCTCAGAGCCCCATCCAGCCTGGCCTTAATATGCACCTCAAAGATCTGCAGACACACTCCTAGAGCTCTAGAGCAGATCCTACAGGATCACTGTGAACACTGGACCATCCAGTGGTCCAGACAAGGTGCCAGACAAGCCTTCCTTGTCCGCCAACCTGTCAGGGGACACAGGACACCCGATCCAAGCAATGCACAGTGTTGGGTAACAAACCCAAATCTCTCTCCACAAGACAATGGTTTTTTAACTTTTTCAACAGAGGAGGCAAAAAGCCACTTTTCAGAGCTGGCACTTTTCCACAGCCAGATCACCTCTGACTCACAGAGTTGCACAATGCTTGTGCTTCTCACTCCAGCTCAGCATCCAGCCCCATGGGCAGGTGATGGAGCTCTTGGGAAAAGCTGTGGGACTGAACAAGCTCTGCAGGCTCAACATGGAGAGACAACCAGGCTCCCAAAGGTGCCACAAGGCAGCTGAAGCCAGGAGGAGGATTCCTTACCGTTGGGAAATCTTCCAGCACCTGCCGGTCCTTCTCCTTGCTCTCCATGTATTTCCACTCTGGCTGGTAGAGGTAGGAGTGGAACTCCTGCAGCATTGGGACCTTCACATCCAAGGGGATGCTCATGTCATCCTCTACAGTGTCCAGGGCACGGAGCACCAGGTAGAATATACAGACAGCATGTCTGAGAGGAGAGAAAAAACAGGAATTCCTTACTTGGGATTTTCTATTCAGCAGGATAAACAGCTGAGATGAACGACAGAGCCTTCAGCAGGGGCACTTCAAGCTCAGTATGACACACACTGGCACTTCCAGGTTGTTGATACCACTGGAAAATACCAGCACTTCCAACACACCTGACTTGGGTCAGGAAATCCAGGTTTTCCCTTCCTGAGGAGAACTATGACCAGCTTTTGGCTTTCTAAAATGCATAGCAGGGAAGGGTCAGGCCTGTCATCTCCCTGAGCAGGGAAGATCCAACCCTGCAAGCAAAGCCAGGACCCAGAGGACAGACCCTGAAGTCATTTTATTGGAAAGAGCAAATGTGAAAAAGGGAAGGGGAAAAAATCAGCCATACTTTTCTCATCACTTCCCCTTCTCTGCACACAGCAGCCTTTTATCCAGTTTGGGGGGCAGTAAAAGGGTGCCTTACTGCGCAACAGGAACATTAGAGCCAAACTACCCTGTATTTTATATCTCCCTGCACAAGACATTCAGGCCATCCCATGTGTCCCAGATGCTGGAAAGCTGTTTCTCCTCCCAGTCCCACTGCCCTTGCCTTCCCTTATTCCTGCTTCCTTTCCCATTCCCTGCCTTCCCCAGCCCTGCCTCCACATTCCTGCAGTAGAAGCAAAAAAAGAAGTCCTGATGGCAGGAAACAGTGTTTCCAGCTCCAGGATTTATATAAAATAATCCCTAGCCCTCCATGAGCACAGTGATATGTCAAGGAGATGAGGCTTTATTAATTGTTTTACAAATGGAAACTAGCTTGGACTGCTTAAATGCTAATTACTTGGTGACAGTGTTGTACTCCTGGGATGACAATGTGCAAGCAGTGATTAAGCATCCAGGGAAAACTGACTTGCTCTTAGAGCCAATGCTGTTAAATTTGGCTTTTTTTCCTCGACTGAAGGGTATTTAACACCTCCATCAAACCACATATCTGAGGGCTCACAGCAGCTCTCTCATTCCTGTTCCTTTCCATACTAACTGGGCTGCAAAGGTTCATCCAACAGGATCCAAGCGCCCAGGGCTCCAACCCAATTCCAGCAGCAACTTCCACCAGCAGGAATCAAGAAAGGCAGAGCAGAACCTGAAATGCCATCCCAGAAGCACCTCTCACAGTGGCACCATGCCAAAGGAAGAGCCAGCAGTAATTCCAGAGGCCAGCATAATTAAACATTTATTTAACCCCACTTCTGCATCCAGAGCACAACTGCATCCCTAACTTACATCATATACTGAATTTAGATCCATGGCAATTTTGGCAAGTTAAAGGAAGAAATTTATTACTGTGAGGGTGGTAAAACACTGGCACAGGTTGTCCAGAGAGGTGCTGGATGCCCCATCCCTGGAAATATTCAAGGTCAGGCTGGATTGGGCACATCTGGAAGCACCCACTTCCAAAGAGCAAGTCTGGATCATCTCAGGGCTCAAGTTTCAGCCCTGTCCTAGACACAGCTCCCCAATTCCCAGGTAAGGAGGTCTCCTTCTTTCCTTCCATCACATTCACCTTGTGATAGTCCAAACCTTCAGAGATGGATCCTAAAGGGTCCCAGCGACAGGTAGAACTGTGGGTCTGGCAGAGGGGGAAGGCAGGAGCATCCCTCTCCTCCTCTCCATCCCCAGGAGAGGAGCTGTGATGTTGGCTCACACTCCTCTCCACCAGCAGCAGTTGAGATGTTGGCTCAGCTGCCCATGAAACTGCAGTTTTGAGCCTCCCACCTTCCAAGACAACGCCCTAACCACGGAGCAATGAGCTGGACAAGGCCCTGGCCAGCAAAACATGCAGGTTATGGGGCCAAAAAAAATAAGCAAGAAGGAACTAAACATTTCAGCTCAACTACCAGTACCCTGCCTGGCCAGGGAAGCTCTGCTCCAAGCACTCATCCAGAAGTTCTCTGTTTTCCAGCAGTCCTTCTGAGATGTATATCTGTAACCACAGGGGTTCAACTGAACTCCCTGATGGGGTTAACATCAATGAAAGCACTTTTTTGATCCAGCAAAATTAATTCCTTTGGTAAGGTTGCTGCTCTGCCTATTTCTATATCCTCCCTATTTTGTATTTCCATCTTTTGTCCCTAAATTCTCCAGCAGAGCTACTGTGCTTTGAAAATTAGAGCTTCTCCTGATCCACTACAGCACCACTGTAATTCAACCACCAGCCCTGCACGGCAGTGGGTTGCAAAGATCCTGCAAGAGCATTTTTAGGATGCCAGGCAGAAGTTTCTGTGCCCTGAAGGGAGAAAGCCTTCCTGATCCCAAGGCAAGGATTAAAGAAGAAAAAAAAACAAAGATAACTGCAGGATGACCAAGGCATGCACAGGGTAGATGGACACTGCTAACAGGTTTCATGGTGTTTTATTAATTGGCCTTTTTTTCCCTTAATTTCTACATTAGCTAATATTACAAGCACAGAAAAAAAAAGTTTAATTCTTGGCCCCACTTGTACTTTTCCACACAATTCCAGCCAAACCACTGAATTTCTTTGCCCTTCCTGTAAACCAGGCTGCAGACACCGTTTCATATTTGTTGGACACAGCTATGGAGCATCATCCAAAATGCCAAACCAGGGCTCAGAATTCCAACAGATCACCCAGTGTTTGAGTTCAACTGCTCGGCAGAGCTGCAACGTGTCTGGTTCAACTTACAGAATCCCCTAATTTGATGACTAACCCATTTTGGGATTAACTGGCGATTTACAAACTGCAATCAGTAACTACCATATGAATATAATGAATTATATGGAGAATATTTACATATTCATACGAGGCCCTGGGCCAGCTCAGCTTTGCATCCTCTGTTATTATTCCTATCTGAAGCTTTCCCTCCTATTCTCATCTGCTTTCCCTCACGGGGCAACAAAGTTTGCACAGCAGAAAATGAGCGTGCAACGATCCCTCTCCCATGACCGTGCAGGTTTTGAGGCAGCTGCTTCCACAAGCACCTTCCAGGCAGGGTCCAGACCCTCGGTCAGCCCCAGGTTTTTCCTCACCTCCTCCCTCCGTCCGGCCCGAAGGCCAGTGCCAGCCTTGGCACTGCCGGGACACATTCCCAGAGTGTCACACACGGCACACGGCCAGGCCCTGTGTTTAACAATCTGCTGGCCAGGAAGCTGCAGTGTCTGTCCCAGGGCTTGCTCAGCCCCGGGACCCAGTTTGGGGGAGGGGGGATGGGGCACAGCCAGCTCGGACGTGAAAAACCCCACGTCCCGCTGCACGGGGTGGGGCTGAGCCCAGTGAGTCCAAGCAGCTCCCGATGGGAGAGGGAGCGTGTCCCAGCAGCTCTACCAAAGAAAAATGGCATATGAGGGCACTGCACGGACCAACTCCTGCCAGCTCTGCCAGGGAGCCCTGGTATTGGGAGGTGTCACACCCACCAGCTCCCGGAGATCCTCAGTATTGGGAGGCATCACGCACACCACCTGCTGAGGAGGAGAATTACACCCATCGCCTCCCGGGGATCCCCAGTGTTGGGGGGCATCACACCCACCACCTCTGAGGGAGCCCCAGTGCCGGGGGGTCACTGCACCCTCAGCCCCCCTCCCCGGGACCCCAGCGACCCTCCTCTTACCGCAGCTCTCCATCCAGAGCCTGGATGACGGCGGCGAAGCTACGGCTGGTCTGGTTGAGGTACCGGTAGCAGGTGCGGAGGCCACATCCCAGCGAGTCCTGCGGGCAGAGCGGAGCCCGGGGGGCCGGTTGGAGCGGGGGGGCGGCGGGCGGCGGGACCAGGGGCGCCGCGGGGACCCCGCGCTGCTGCTGCCGCTGTTGCCCCCGCCGCCGGCCCGGAGCCCGGGGGGGGTTCCGCGGGGGGGACAGGGTCAGTGTCCGCCGGAGCAGCGACATGGCCCGGGACCCGGCCGCCATGGGGGCGCGGCGGCGGCGGGGGGCTGCGGCCGCTCCGCCCCCGGCCCCAAACACGCCCCTTAACCCGCCCCGTCCCGCGGCCGGAGCCGCTGCCATGTACGGGCAGCACCGGGGCAGAGCATCGCTGGGAGCCAGTGGGATGCCCGCGGGGTACCGGGACTGTGCGATGGTTGGGGTTGGTGCCATGCACGGGCAGCACCGGGGCCGAGCATCGCTCGCTGCCGGTGGGATGCTCGGAGCGTACCGGCACCGAGAGATGCAAGGCATGCCCGAAGCCCGTGGGATGCACGCGGGTACCGAGCACCAAGCAATGCTTGGGAAGCCTGAAACAAGCAGAATGTTCGGAGCCGGTGGGATGCTCGGAGGGTACCGGCACCGAGCAACGCATGAGAAGCCAGCAGCCGGTGGGATGCTCGGGAAGCACCGGGGCTGTGCAACTCCCAGAGCAGGTGGGATGCACGCAGAGTACCAGCACCGAGCAATGCTCGGGGAAGCCTGAAACAAGTGGAATGTTCGGAGCCGGTTGGATGTCCAGAGGGCACCGGCACCGAGCAATGCACGGGAAGCCAGAAGCGGTGGGATGCTCGGGAAGCACCGGGACACTGCGATGCCCAGTGTCACTGCGATCCACGCAGGGTACCGGCAGTGGACAATGCAATGGATGCTCGGAGCCCGTGGGATGCTCAGAGCCGGTGGGATGCTCGCGGGGTACGGGCACCGAGCAATGCACGGGAAGCCTGAAACCGCCGGGATGCCCGGAGCCGGTGCCATGCGCAGAAAGCACCGGAGCCAGCGGTATGCCTGGAGCCGGTGGGATGTACGCGGGGTACCGGCACCGAGTAATGCAAGGGGTACCCGGAGCCGGTGGGATGCTCTCAGGGTACTGGCACCGAGCAAGACACGGGACGCCCGAAGCAGGTGGGATGCCCGGGAAGCACCGAGGACACACACGGCCCACAAAGGGGCCGCTGCCCACCGGTAGCACCGGGGCCGGTCCTATGGACTCCAGGCCATGCGACAGTCACCCATGACAACGCCGCATCCCCGCCGGGAGATGACAGTCCCCCCCACCTCCGTCCCCTGCTGCATCCCTCCGCGCTCACCGGGTCGATCCGCGGCATGACGACGCGGTAGCCGCCCATCTTGAACCGCAGCAGGTTGTAGAGGTCCTCGGGGTGGCCGAGCCATTTCCGAAGCAGCTCCATGGGGGCCCCGCACGGTCCCCGCCGCCGTCGCCGCTCCCGCCGCCCCCCTCCCGCCGCTCTACCGGCCCCGGCCAGCCCCGCCCCCGCCGCGCTCCGCCACCAATCACAGCGCCCCTCGCATCGCTCGGTGGGGCGGGCACGGCGCCCATTGGCGGAGACGCGCTCGCACCAGCGCAGCGCCAGCCAATGGGAAGGCGCTGCGGCTGGTGTGACGGCCGGCGGCGGGCGCTGATTGGCTGCGGCGGGTGTGGGCACAGGCGGGGCGGGAAGGAGCGGCCCCGGAGCCCGAATGTGAGGGAGGGTCAGGGGAGGGGGCCGCGTCGTCAGGGAAACGTGGAGTGGTTCGGGTGGAAGGGACTTTAAAGTTCATCCAGTTCCAACCCTGACACCTTTCAGGTTGCTTCCAGCCCTGTCCAGCCCGGCCTTGGACACTTCCAGGGATAGGGTAGCCACAGCTTCTCTGGGAATTCTATCCCAGACCCTCACAGCCAAGAATTCCTTCCCAATATCCCATCTAACTGCCCTCGGGCAGTTTCAAGCCATTTCTCCTTGTCCCAAGTCCCTCTCCAGCTCTCCTGGAGCCCCTTTAGACACTGGAAGGGTCTCTCAGGTCTCCCTGGAGCCTTCTCCAGATGAACACCCCCAGCTCTCCCAGCCTGGCTCCAGAGCAGAGGGGCTCCAGCCCTTGGAGCATCTCCATGGCCTGAGAACCCAACAGATCCCTGCTGCCTCCTCATCCTTAAAGGTGTGAGGTTCAGCTTTTGGGTTTTTTTATTGTACATGACTATCTTCCAAAGTCCAAAGCTGAATTTTGATCCTCCTTATGGGTCCCTTCCAACTTAAAATATTCTATGATTCTTTGTTTTGTAATGGCACTGAAAGGGCGTTTCACTGACACCTTTCAGGATACGATCAGAAGGAACATCAAGTGCCTTCTTTGACACTGTAACCCTATTAATTAGTTTATTCAGCAATCCTGTAACCTGCAACCATTCAAGGGTGTTGCAGTTTCCAGTGGAGAGGCTGCACAAGCCTTGCCTGGGAAGCAGCAGCCTAAAACAGAGGGGTTTACCTCTAGCATTCCCAGCTGATTTGCAATACATCTTTAGATCCAGTTCCCATTAAAACAAACTTCTGAGGAAAGCTCCTAGTACCATCCTCTACAAGCAGCACCAAAGGGCTGACTGTTAATCAATTCCAGGTAGCTGGAATTTCCCTGTGCACCTCAGTTTTTAACCAAGAAACTACCAGAAAAGACACACTGAATTTAAGATGAACATCACTAGTTTTCCAGTTCCAGCTTTTATTTTTTTCCTCAAGCAAACAATTTGTTAAAATAAACCCAAATCCACAGAGAGAGAACAGCAGCAGCTCCTGCCTCACATACAGAGATGCTCAATAAAGAAGGTTTCATCTCTATTTCCAAACCTTTCTGCTTGCAGGTTTCCTTGGAGATCCTAAGTTTTATGCAATCTCTGTCACACACACAGTATTTTTAGGGGTTTTTTACTGTTACAGTGAGATCTGGATTTGGCAGTTTGCCATGAAGCTGAAACCCCTGAACAAGATGAGCTCCACCAAGCACTGCTGACGTAGGTTTTGTCCCCTTGAAAGGAGGGAGCTGTTTCTGTCAGATCTGACAGAGGGAACAGCCCCTCACATTTAACCACACCCAGCACACAGGTATTCAGCTCCAAACAGAGGCAGGATTTTTTAATTCCTAATTAATCAAGCTTTTTAGGCAGTGGGATATACTCTGTTCTGCTGACTCCACTGGGGTCAAGGGATAGGGTCACTTCAGACCACAGCAAACACCTGCTCAACACTCTACACTTTCCATCCACTGTGGTCTGAACAGGGTGACCAAAATACCTGGTCAAACCCTTTTATACTGTTCATTGTGAAAAAAAAAGACATGTACAACCACTTCACTACTTTCTGCATGCACTCAGTGCTGCAGCGAGTCCTGTGACCTCCACTGAGCACTTAACTCTGCCAGCTCATTGTCACTAAGAGCCAAACTCAACAGCTCAAAGAAACCAAGACGACCTCCTCAAGGCAATTAGGAGCATGGTTGAGACATCACCTACCACCCTCCAGGAAAGGAGGAATGCAAAGCCAGGTCACTCTGTGACTGGGGAAGGATCCCCTTCCCCTGGCAGCACCTCAGGCTGGCACTGAGGACACCACCAGGTAAGTCTTTTAAAGGCACCCAGTGGTCCAAAAGTTCCCTTCATCACTGGATGGCCAAGGGGACACTGCTCCCTCTGGTAGATCTGGGGGTGCAGCCCTTGGCCACGGAGCTTGTGGTGCAGCCAGTCAGAGCTGAACTGTAGGGCACAGTCCAGCAGACGCTCCAGATCCGAGGGAGCCAAGAGAGAGCCTTGTGTTAGTGGGTGGATCTTGGTCAGGTACAAAATCTCATTCTTAATGATGTTCCCTGGAAAGGGACAGAAACAAGGAGAAAATAAGGGTCTTTCTAATCAAGATAATGCAGACTTCTGGCTCCAATCTGTGACTTCGCCCTCAAGGATCACAGCCAACAATGTCATTCCCTGTTTCAGAGGTGGCATGCAAGGAGTAGACTTAGAGCTGGGATTGGACTGGACAGAGTTCTCTTTCCTCTACCTTTGAAGCAGAACTTGAAGATGACCATGTACCCTCAGCTGGATGAACCAGAAGCCACAAGGCAAAGGAGTAAAACTCTCAGACATGCAGCTCTGGATCTGCAGACATCCTACCCACCTTCCTCCATTTCTTGCTCTGCCAAGTATTCCCTGGAACTCACCCAGCCCTGAAAAGTATCGTTGGTCTAAGAGGGTGTAGCTGATGGGATTGGGTGCACGGAGGGCATCCAGTGCCCGGCCACGGTGGAACTCCATGGACAGGATGTCAGAAGCAGGATCAGCCCTTGGAGAGGAGCACCAGTTCATTCTGCAGTTGTAGAAAACAAGGAAGCCTCTGCTCTCAAAGTGGAGAATCAGCCTGGGAGGAGCAGAAAAGCAGAAGTGTCTCATCAGAAACATCCTTGAACCATTTGTCCTATTCTACACCAGGCCACTGGCTCAAGGTAAGGTAGCCTCTTTAACGATTTCAGCCACAAAACCTGGTGGTGAACAACTCTCCACAGGTTGTGTGGATTCTTTCTCCTGCCCTGTGGTCCCTGGATGACCAAGGCTCCAGCAGTAGGGTCCACAGATCAGGGAAACCAATGCCAAAAGTAGCACAAAAAATTGTGTCTAAAAATGTTTGCACAGAAATGAAGTAATCCTGTACAAGACTGCAGGATGTGGTGCATGGAGCGTGTCCCTAACAAGTACAGTGATTCCAGCTGCCCTAGACGTTTGCCATTCATCCAAGGCTTTTTTTAAACACTTAATTGGGAGAAACTGGCATCTTCAGAGCATGATTCAGCCCGGCATCCTAAAACTTCTCTAAGATAAAAATGTTAACAGAGCTGGTACTATGATCCCCAAGCTGGCAGGCAACATGCATCCCACAATTCCACTGCAGATCGAACACACCCCACACCCACTCACACCATCTCTCGTGCCTACTTAACTTAGGAATTATCAGAGAAAAATCAAGGCTAAGAGCACCCCCAGGCAAATTTAGTTTGGATAGAAGAGTGCCTCTCCAGAATGAGAGGCAGGGAGAGAGAGGGCTCCATGAAATACCTGGGTACAGGGTCCTTCCAGTCCCCCCTTTTATTGGCTCTGTTTGCTCTGGAGAACTCGTTTGCCCGGACGCTGCCGAACAAGCCAAAGTGGAAGCGCAGCCAGTGGCCTGGACCTTCTGCTGCTTCTGGGGCTTCAGACCTCGAGTGCTGGAGTCCCTGCAGCTCCTCATCCTGGGGATGGGGAGCACAAACCTGTTCTTGCCCTTCCTGGACAGAAGAACCTGCCACAGCAGCAGCCTCTTTCTGCAGCACTGTCTCTTCTGCAGTTGGTCCTGAGGGACTTTCAGCTGCCACAAATGCCAGGTACAAGTTCTTCCCGTGAACCTGTGGAAAGAGGTGGGTTGTACTAAGGATCCATATAGGATCATAGAATCACAGGCTGCTTTGGGTTGGAAGGGACCTTAAAGATAATCTCATTCCAACCCCCTGCCATGGGCAATGACATCTTCCACTAGACCAGGTTGTTCAGGCCTCATCCAACCTGACTTGGAACATTTTCAGAGATATACTGGGGATACAGAGAGGAACACTTCCTCTGGCTGTTTCCATACAAGTGACTATTTTCTACAGCTTCTTTTAGACAGAGGGCACATCACCCCACCCTGAGCACAGGATTCATCAGCATCTGAGTCATTCCCATCAGGATTGCAGGCATCCTCTCAGCATTCCTTAAGAAGCCAAGGTACTTAGATGCCACTCAAATGTAAATCTCTCCCTGAGGCTCCTGTCAAGCCAAAGAGACACACCAGGAGAGGCACTCAGGGTTACGAAATCTGTCATCATTTTTTCTGATTCACCTCACCACCTCTTGCTGCAGGCACTTTGTGCTTCTCATTTTGCTTCCCACTTTTAATCTGAGTTGGGGCTGCACCAGCATTTGGCCAGTCAGGTCCAAATCATCATCTGAGGGATGTCAGGCAAGTGAAGCCTCCAGCAGGACCAACCCAGTGTGACCATCTCATATATATATCAACAGCACAGACATCTCAGCTCAGCCAGGGGAAACCCTGAGGGAAACACTCCCAGGTTCTGCACCTTCTGTGACCCAGATGCAGGACAAGGGTGGTTTCCCTGAGACTTGTCATGGATCAAGAAGCTCATCTTTTAGCACAGCTCACCTGGGAGTCCTGGAGCCTCAGGGCATTCAGGTCATTCACCTTGATCTTGCGGCTGCTTCCCCCCACCTTGGCCACCACTTGTCCCACAAAAGGGGAGGTCAGCAGCTGGAACTTCCTCACTGATGGGCCCTCTGGCATCTCCAGCAGTTGTTGAGGGATTAGCAGGTCCTTCTCACACTCTTCCCTAAACTTGAAGGGAAGTT